GATGTTTTTTTCTCACAGTCATACATTATGTCTTCTTATAATTGATGGTTAGTCTGTTCTTCCTACTTTCCTTTACTATCTTATCTAAGAGGTCCTGCAGTTCTCTTTCTTTGCCTGCCTTCAACACAGTGTCATCAGCATATCTTATATTGCAGATTATGCCCACCAATAACAAATTCTGGTAGAATTTCCAGCTCTAGTTATTACTGTAGCCTTGCTCTAAAAGTTGAATGAATTTGGTGAGAAGACACATCCTTGCCTTACAATCTTTCCAATTTTTTGTGTATTTAATTCATTTTCTATTTAAAACAGGCAGTATACAAGTTCTGGATTATTCTAACATTGCTCCAAAATAAATCAAGTTTTCCTAACTTGTGCTGTACCCTAGCAAATGTTTTTAAACAATCTATGAAACATAAGTATACATTCTTCTGAACTAATATTGCTTTCTGAAGACAGTCTGATCATAAACATATTTATTTCATTATCTTGTAACCACTGTTCTTGTCCTATTTCTAGTTTAATTCTGCTTTGCTCTCCATTCATAATTTGGATTATAAACTTGGTTATATCTCATTAGCTGATTGTCCAATGGAAGTCACATTAATTCAGAGCTGACTTCTTAAGCAGTGCTATGAAGATGGATCTACTAAGGTTTTCTAGTATATTGCTACTGTTGTATATTTTGTTTATTATTTTCATAAACTTGACAATGTTTAAATTGCCTAAGGGTGAGAGTATGTCTATTACAATTCCATCTGGTCCTGCTGCTTTCTTCCTGTTCATTTTGTCTTGTGCCAATCTTATTTCAAACTTTAATATTTCAGGTCCTTCCATATTTTTGTGTATTGCAGGTTTCTCTCACTCATCATAAAATAGTTCTCCAGTATATTTATTCTATTTTTGGAGTGTTCACTCTTGATTTTATGCAACCTTTAATTCTTTTACTTTTTGTACATACTTACCTTATTCTATTTCTTCATAATTTGATTAAGCCATTCCTCTTTAGCATGCTTGCATTTGCTTCTAATTTCTGTTTAATATTCTATAATCTGTACCATTCCCTGGCATTGTTTGCTGTCATCAAGAATTTCATGACATCCATTAATTCTTTCCTTAAACAAGTGGACAATGGAGTAGGTTAAATAAGTTAAAATGCCAATGGAGGTCATTAAAAAATCTTTATTTTATATTTTTTTTTTAACTTTTAAGCTGCATATCTGTCAGTGTTAAGAATCTTGTTTAAAGATTTTTGTTTTCAAGATTTAATCATTTGGTACCAATTGCTGATGGCAAGATGATCAAATTTCAAATCTGAACTGTACTATTTAAAATGGGCAAATATTTTAGAAAATATATTCTATTTAAATACACAGGGGGTCATTTCATTTTATTATCGTAAGTAATAAACTGGACATTTACTTTTTTCCATCCTTATGCTATCAGGTTCTAGGTACCAATAGTTATGAAGAGACTGATATATGATTCACCTGAAGAAGGCCAGAACATACAAGGGCCAAAACATTGTGAATATGGTAATGTAGATGAGGATAACAGCCCATATAATGTAAATAATCATAATACCACATCTCAGAGATATAGACAGACAATAGAAAGATATTTCAACTTTATCAATGTGGTGGTTAGAACCTTTTCATTTTATTAATATTCAAGTATAAACAATATTTCAATATATCATTATGTAATATAATTATAATTTTCATAATTTAAAAAATAATAAAGCTTATTCTGAAAAGCATCTGTAAGTAATTAGTATTTAATTAAAATAGGATGAAACATTTTATTTATTGATATTCTATTAATGGGAATGAACAATGAAATTGTAAAAGAAAAAAAATCACTTTTGATCTTGCTTATTTACCAAATTCTTGATTTTCTGTATTTTTCATAATCTTTATCATCTTCAATTTAAAATGATACATGTAAAATATATTATATTGATGGCATATACTTTAGTAGATATTAAATGAATATATATTACATGACAAATCTTTATATATTTAATTTTGTCATAAGTAGTTTTTAAATGCTTAATTCAAATGGCAGGATTACTAAAATAGTCTGTGTGGCACAAGCAATGGCTATCAAAAAGGAAAAAAATCTGAATATACAAAAACATGTAAAATATTTACTGAACCATAGTTACTTCTCAAAAATTGTATATATAAAGAATAAAAAAATCTTTATTTTTATTAGATGAAAAGTTGTTAACCATTGATGATAATTATTTTAACTTGTAATTAATATTTTTAATTGCTTTCCATCAAAAACTTTACTCAGGGCAAATGCAGTAATGATTTGAAAGAAAAGGAGCAGCTCTCACAGAGATTTGAACTCATCTTCTTTGTGCCTCAGGGACAGCTTGGTTGAACAGACTAGCTACTCTAACCAACCAATGAATAAAAAGAAAAAATTAAGATGGAAGTAAATACTAGCCAAAATTAATAAAAATTTTTAGTACAAAGAAAAAAATTCTTGC